AATGAATGATCCCTCTGCCTTGCCAACGTTTTCTAGCGCTCGAGGGCAGAGCTGGATTGATGTAACACTGGCATCACCGGTGCTAGCGAGTCGCATCAACGATTGGATCCTCCGATCTGAAACGAGTTCCGACCACCAAGCGATAGCTTTTAAGCTGGTGGAAAATATGGAACGTTCCCACGGCATCGCTATGGGTTATTTAACCCGAAGGGCAAATTGGAAAGCCTTCCGGTCAACGCTGGAGGAAAAATTAGTAGATGAAGAATGGGATGAAGCGGAGACGGACCAGACAGATAGTCTAGATTATAGGGTCTCTAGGATCACAGATGTCATCCGTGACGCCGCTGAGGAATCCCTCCAGCAACGGAAGGTGAGAGCTCGACCTATCCCATGGTGGACGCCGGCCTTAACTGCTATGAAGAGAGAGCTCTACAAGGCCCGGCGGTCCTATCAAAAGTGTGGTAGTGAGGAGAGGCGCGCCACACTTCGCGACGAGTATAGGTCCAAGTCCAGAACATACCGAAACGAAGTGCGCTCTCGAAAAAGGAAGTCTTGGGACGAGTTCATTATTGAAGAATCGTCCAAAAACCCCTGGGGTATCCCTTACAGAGTTGCCTTGGGTAAGTTAAATCCACAACAGGTAATAGCCGCATTGAAACGCGGAGCTACTCAGGCAACCACTCTGGAGGAGACGGCAAAAACGTTCATTGCGGAAACCTACCCCAGGGATGATCCGTCCCAAGATAATGAAGAGGAGAGATACATTAGACGCACTACGGTATGCCCACCAGGTACGGACCTATGCCCACCATGGGACATATGGGATCTCCGTGCTGCCGTGGATAGGCAAAGGACTGGTCGAGCTCCTGGCTTGGATTCGATAGACACAGCAATACTAAGGAATAGTATCCCCTACATTGAACAAAGGCTGTTAGCATTGTTCAATGATTGCCTAGACAGGGGTTACTTCCCTAAAATATGGAAGATTGCTGATGTTAGACTCCTTTATAAGGGAGGAGATAAGGACAAGCAGTTAGCGAAGTCATATAGGCCTATATGTCTCCTTCCTATAATGAGTAAATTGTTGGAGACCTTGCTGATGAGGAGTCTACGACCAGTCTTCTTAAGAGCTAGCCATCCACGACAGTACGGATGCACTAAAGGTAGGGGAACCGCAGATGCTCTGCTCAGAGTGCGCCGTGACGTTGAAGAGAAGGCGGAGAAGTATGTAATGCTTCTCCTGTTTGATATATCCTCCGCCTTCGATAGCGTTTGGTGGCCGAGTGTACTCCTGCAGTTGCAAAAGTATGACGCTCCCAGCAACCTGTACGACCTCTTAAGAAGCTATCTAGAAGACCGTAAATTAATGATAAAAGGTAACTTCTTTGCTGTAGAGGATTCTGTAGAAAGAGGATGCCCACAAGGGTCTGTACTAGGTCCAGCCTTGTGGAAACTGGTATTTGACGAGCTGCTGGGAGTACTGGAAGAGCAGCGGTTCCCCGCCACTGCTTACGTAGACGATCTCGCAGTCGTGGTGGCATCGAACAGCAGAGCCAGATTAAAGGAAGAGGCTGAACGGTGCGCCAACCTTGTAGGAGAATGGTGCGAGAGAAAGAAGATGAAGATGGCGGCTTCAAAGACTCAGTCCGTTCTTTTGAGGGGTAAGACTGACAGGGCCCACCCTATCACTCTGAATATACAGAGAGAAACGATACGTCCAAGTGAGGCGGTCACCTATCTTGGGATAAGGACTGGAAGAAAGTTTAACTTCACCCCTCACTTGGACTATCTGAGAAGTAGAGTGGCCCTGGCTCTTAATGGACTGAGTCGCATCGGGGGCGCCTTTTGGGGTCTCAGATACCCAGCCACTTTGGCTATTTATAACGGAGTTATCTTGGGTATCCTGAGATATGCGTCCCCTGCGTGGAGTCAGACTCTCTCGCACCTACAGAAGAAAAGGTTGGCGACGATCCAGCGTATGGCTCTGCTGCGTGTCACTAGGGCGTACCGCTCAGTATCTCATGAGGCGGTACAAGTCTTAGCCGGAAGTATTCCAATCGATCTTCAACTTCGTGAAGACTACTTTCGGCACGAAATGAAGAGAGATGGCTTGGTGGATCTACCGGCTAATCTCCGAGTGAGGATCAGTGAAGACCCAAGCAGATGGAAGAGGATTCTCCGGGAATGCACATTAGAAGAATGGAACCGGCGTTGGATGACAACGCCAAAAGGATCAACCCTAAGGAAATACTTCCCCACCGTCGGTTCAAGAATGGAAACTACATGGCTCCTCCCGGACTATTGGGTCTCGCAATTCCTCACGGGGCATGGGGGATACCGAGCAAAGCTTGTTCAGCATGGTAAGAACATTGATCCCCTATGCCCAAGTTGTAGGGTACCGGAGACCGCCGAGCACGTCTTATTAGCCTGTACCGCCTATGAGGCATTGAGGGCTAAGTTGCTGAGGGAGACTGGGCTCTATGTCTTATCAGAGCGCGATCTACCTCAGCTAGTGACCAGAGAGAACTACCCGCACTACAAGGCCTTTGTGTACGGGTGGAAAGACATCATTGGCCCAGCCCACTTCTATTTGGGTAGAAGAGAAGAAGCTCCACCACAGAGGATGGAAGAGCCAAGCTAAACAGAAAATCTTATTGTATCGATTGCAGTATTGGCTAGTTATGCACACACGTGTAGCTATCCAATACTGCAAACACTCGTATTGCCAAACTGGCAGGGCAGAGATTTAAATAAATAATATAAATAAATAAAGTATACATTGGTAAGTCCTAAAGGAGCAAAAAGTCAAATCGACCATGTGCTGATAGACAACAGGCATCAAAGCGCCATACAAGGCATAAGGAGTTGTCGTGGAGCAGACTGTGATTCGGACCATACTCTGATTATAATCAAACTCTGTCAGATGCTGAAGCTAATCCACCGAATTGGAGACCAAGTGGAGAAAGAAAGAAAGAGGTACGAACTCCGTAATTTGAAAAACCCTATGGTACAAGCTGAATTTCATCATGACCTGAATAATAAATTCGAATCCTTGAACGCGGTAGGCCTCACTGTTTACCAGGAAATATAATTGACAGGTTGATAATCCACAGGAATGTTAAAAGGCAGCGGAGGAAAGTAGAAAAGTCCTCTGCTTAGGACAAACTTATCAAGCAATGCTGGACAAATACACAGTTGCCAGGAAAAAGACAAACAAAATAATAAGAAAAGTCAAAAGAGAATTCCTTAAAGAAAGATTACGAAGTATAGAGAAAAATTAGCAAGGGAGAGAGGATTCTTCGCAGATATCAAGAAAGAAAGGGTAGGATATAAAGTGAGAAATAAACAAATGCGAGATGGCAAATTGACTTGATGGACCACACTGAGGACATCGACCCACTTGAGGTTGAAAAACAAGATATTCTGGATTTGGAAATAGCTATCGGCAGGCTTAAAAGAAGAAAGGCTCCAGAGATAGACAACCTACCATCAGCATTGTTCCAAGGATGAGGAGAAGACCTCTGAGCCAAGCTGTTAGATCTAATACAGAAGATACGGCCGAAGGAACGGATACCAGAAGCCTGGAACACAGCTTTGATCAGTCCTATCCTTAAGGACTCCATGTGTGAATGTGGAAATTACAGAGAAATAGCACTTCTTCCTGTCGCTTATAAAATATCTTGCTAAAACGGATATATTAGTATTATGAAAACATAACAGGCGACCATCAAACAGGATTCAGAAGAGGGAGGAGTACGCTAGATCAGATATTCATCCTAAAACAAGTATTTGAAAAACGATGGGAAGTAGATCAGGACATACACGCATTATTTGTCGACTCCAAAGCTGCCTATGACTCCGTGAACAGAAACTGTCTCTGGAAGATCATGACTGAGTTGGGCGTTTCGGAGTGAGTTTAAGTTTGTGAGATAAATTAGTTAGGTTGACGAAGGCGTATTACAAATGATCCTAAATGCAGAGTAATAATACAAGGAGAAGTATCTGAAACCTTTGAAGTTCGAACGGGTTTGAGGCAGGGAGATGGACTCTCGCCTATGTTGTTTAACTTAGCACTAGAGAAAGTAATAAGAAAAAAATCACGCGAAGATGGTGGGGTTTACGTTGGAATGAAGCACAAAATCCTAGCATACGCTGATGATATATAGCTATCCTCGGAAGTAATCAAGAAGATATTGAGAGATTCGCTCGGATTGCGTTAAAAGAATCAGAGCAAATTGGACTACAAGTCAATGTAGATAAAACAAAATACATTATAGCTAGTTAAAACATCCACCCTAATAACATGATCTGCGTGGACTCTAAGCCAGTCCCGAAAGTAGACAGATACAAATACCTCGGCTCCACAATAACCTCAATAAATCAATAAAATCAACTAACAGAGATAGACCAGTGAATAACAAGTGCGAACAGATCTTTCTTCTCTCTTTCCAGTGTATTGAAATTGAAGGGACAATAAAGAACTGCTGAAAGAAATGGGTTAATCAATATCTCGTGACATGAAGGCAAGGAGCTTAAGATGGGCAGGGTATGTAGCTAGTAGCAATCCATCAGGACGCCTTTACACAATAATGAATGCCAAGGTAGTAGGCAAGAGACCACGTAGGATAAAAAAAAATAATATATATATATATATTTTTTTTTTTTCGATTGGTTATACAAACATTGTCGATCTTTGGCCGCCTGAACCAGCCTTCTCCACCTCTGCCTATCTTGGGCTATTGTTTTCTAGTTTGCGGCATGAAGCTCAGCCGTATCTTTGTTTATCGTATCTATCCATCTGGTTTTTGGCCTCCCACGTGGTCTCTTATCTTTGTGTAGAATATAATCACGTTATACTCAGTTAAATTAGAAATTGCAAAAAAGCATAGAAAACATGATATAAATGTTGAACATACAAATATAAAAATGCATTGTTTATTTCATTATTGTACTAAACCTGTTCATTATGTACTTGTTATCCTAATTATTTTTTTTTTCAGGGGGAAGTCGTGCCCTCCTGGCCAGGTTTGCTGCTTAATTCCCACCATAAATTACACTGTCTTGGTCAACCAGCCAAATCCGAACGTCCCGACTCGCATAAATATTCCAGAGGCGCCTATTGTTCCTCGTAAGTAACTTAACAAGTAATGCCATTACAATGCATTTTTATGAGTTCTTAAAATTGATTTAAAAAGAAATCTCCAGAAATACTATTAGTTAGTTTTTTATAGTCCAAGAGTTGAGTCGAAATTTACTGACTAATTTCAAGACAGTATTTAGCCAGACACCATTATAATTTCCATCCTCAGCAACAAACTTGCAATAGTCTACCAACTGAAGGCAGGGACGTTCAAAATGGTGCCGATTGAAAAAGGATATCAAAATTCGTAAAAACTACATAATTTGAAGATGATTTCTTTTTTAAGTCAAAATGAAACTGCACACCACCATATATCAAAAATCGTAGCCTGTCGATGTTGAGAGGTGCTTCTTTGATATTAAAGAAGGGTGTGGTGATTTTGCTTCTCTGATCTCTTGATTCATTGATTCCTTACTACCGAAGGTAGAGAAGCATTGTGTTCGTGCCTGTGGTTAAAAAAAAATTGTGCTCTGAATCGAAGATTTCGACTCGCGTTTTACGTTTCAAACATCAAGGATCAAATTTGGCTCGGTGTCTGTCTGTCTGTAGTCAAATTGATGTGACTGGCATATCTTCTAGTACCTTTCATCCGATTTTCATGATATTTTCAGGGATTGTGTGGATTGGTGCGTGGATGGTCCCATGTCATTTGTTTTCAAATTCCATCCAGCACTACCGCTTACGCACGCGCAAATGTACTTTTTCGTCGTAAATTCCTTTACTACCACAACCAACAAGCCGCCTGGACTGCCTCCTTCCCAAAAGAATCCTCCAGAATTCCTAAAAATTCCTACCCCAAAACCTCCTTGACCTAATCCACACCAAACGATTACTGTGGCAATGTACTAGACATCCTACCTACCCCAGCTCCTATAATTATAACTGCAAACAATTAAAACTGGAATTAGGCACCTTCAGATCACAATCCTTTAACTCCTACCTATCCTCTCTCTCTGTTCGTGATAATTCTCTTTGGAAAACCACAACGAAAATCCTAAACCCGCATCAAATTTCCCATCGACGAGATGACGGCTCCTGGGCAGCATATGACGAAGATAAATCTGAAGAGTTCGCCTATCACTTCTCCAATATATTTATTCCCCATCCGGAATCCCATCCAGCCCACACCGTAATAGTGGAAGAATTCCTTACATCACCTATCCCACTTTCCTTGCCTCCTAAAGCAATTCATCCTTCCGAAGTGAAATTCAATTACAAAAGCTAATCCCCCGTAAATCTCCTGGATCTCCTTACTCCTCAGATCCTTCGACAACTTCCATCCAAAGCAGTCATATTCCTTACATATATCTACAATTGCATCCCACTTTCTTTTATTATAGAAACATTCCACTGCCATCCTTTTCACAAAACCAAACAAGCCTCCTTGGCAACCAAACAGCTTGGCTTCCTATAGTCCAATTTACCTACTTCCAATTCTTTCAAAAATCTTTGAAAAGATAGTTTTGAAACGAATCCTATCGATTATAGAATCCCAACATCTTCCTTTCTATCAGTTTGGTTTTTGCTCTCAACATTCTACCTTTCAACTAGGACTCCGAGATGAACAGTAGAAGTCCGTGGATCATATTTCCTCAGCCCAAGAAACAAGGAATACTGTTCGGGTGCATTTCTGGGCGTAGCACAGGCATTTGACCGGGTATGTCACGGCGGATTGTTCTTCAAGTTTAAAATCCATTTACCTCAGTCCTTGTACCTAGTCCTCCGACCCAACCTTTCTAACCGCTCCTTACAAATTCGCTGTGTTCCGTGCTTTAACCCTCTTTACCGCAGACATCCCTGTTTATTCCGATACTTTCAATACATAATTCGCTATCTTATATCTTATCATAGATCTCGAAATCTCATTCTTAAATCTGCAAAGGCACCTCTCCTTGATTGAGCACTGGTGTAATAACTGGTGGATTAAAGTAAATGAATCCAAATGCCAACATATTACCTTCACACTCTGACGTAATTCCTATCCACCGGTGTACTTTTATTCCATTTAGCTTCCTTTCTCAGACACAGTCCGGTATCTTGGCTTTCTGTTAGACAACAGACTAACATGAAACTCAAATACTAGCATCAAAAGACAAGAACTCAACCAATGCTGCAGCCAACTATATAGTCTAATGAACAGAAAATTTGAACTTCCTATTAAAAACAAACAATTTATCTATAAGATAACCACGAAACTGATATGGTTTCATATCTATAACCTAAATTTCATCAGAACTTTATATACCATCTAAATCCACTTGCACAATCCTTATCTAGTTTCACCTATCCCTACAATCCCTACAACCTTCTCAAAGGTTTTAATTAATTAAAAGGATTAAGAGTAGCACAGCGATCTCCTGGATTCTTGCACTTCCCTCCGTAGTTAAAGGGACTAGTCTGACTCGGAATTCCCTCGCCTGATTGTAAATAGCGTGTATAGATATGTATGTTTTCTTTTTCATTTATTTATTTGTAGGTTATTTTATTCTTATTTATTGTATATATATATTATTTTTCTGTATAATTTATTTTTATTTGTTGTACATAGATTGTGAATGTGATCTCTGAACACTATTATAAATATACTTCGGGACAGATTGTAATATTTCTCAATAAACAAGTTCTAAAACAAAATCAAAAAGTATAATTAATAAGAAAAAATCGAGTGAAGTATAATTTATTTCTTATACAAGTTGCTTTACTGTTTTCAGAAACACCATTTTATGGAGAAGCACCTTGGACAGTTATTATTCAGGAGAAAAAACATGATTTGCTATACAAGTGTGCTGGTTCATTGATTTGGCCTTCTGTTGTTTTGACTGCAGCCCACTGTGTTGAGTGAGTAGTATAAAGTTTAAATAAGAAAATAACAAACATTATGAATAGGTTACATTTGAAAGATTTCCAATCAGAACCCTGTGGTCTCTGAAAGGCAAAATTTTTTATTAAACTACAAACTTTTTATAAAATCCATGCATCTTTTATTAAATAGCCAGTTCATTATCCACAATATAGTAACTATTTTACTTACTAACTGCACCCATCTCCCCACCACAATCGACAGCGCATGCACCTTTCCCCACCCCTCCCAAGATATTTTATCGCTATCCTCTCCTTAAAAACAGTGAAAACAATAGAATAATATGATTTAAAAATTCATAGGTTATATACAATTTCCTGCAGTCTTTACCATTCTTTCGTTTGTCTTTTGATTTAAAACTTTTCATTTCGAAAATTCATAATGCCGTCGAAATGTACTCCCTTCAAAAATTGAAAAAACCCGTCAAAAAATGTTTATGGCAAGTTGCGCCTTAAAATTCCCTTCTGTGCACCTCTGGTACACATATTTTATTTTTACAAATATGTAATTAGTTAGAAAAGATTTGAGTACGATCTCTTAGATAAAATAAAGCATTATAAACCGGCTTATGTTGTTATATTGTTAATCAAAAAGTTTTTACCTTAGCCCAATTTTGTCTAACAATAATTTCTGCTACTAAAGTCGAGAGAAAACTTGTTTGATGCGGGTGGCTCTGAAACGTATAGATCCGTCGAAAACCGCATGTCATAATTTCGACCCGATCGCAATACTTTCCTATTGTAGCAATACTATACCTAGTATAGGTAGGAAAATAATAAATTAAAACATGCGTAGAAAATAAAATACACTGTATCATCGCTAATACTGATTCGATTCAAATGATTCTTTTTTTTAGGTTATTTAATTACCTTTCAAAAGTTTTAATATAAATTTTACCGTAGAATACATACTTAGTGAACTATGCCCCAAAACATTTTTCTTTTCTTTATCACTTTTTTTCCTGTATTTCCTCGAGAATTTAGTAAATGTACAGATATTTGAAAGTACGTTAATTAGAAAATTATAGAAAAGTTTCATCAAAATCGTTACAGTAGCGCTACAGTCTAAAGAAAAATGAGTTTTTCACTTATTTCGCAACCGCTATTGCGCATGGAGCACCCATATTGTGTCACAGGTATCATGAGTCAAAACCATACAAAATAAAAAAATAACCAACAAAATCGGTCTATTAGTTCTCGAGGTAATCTTGGAACACACAGACAGACCAATGGCTGAAAATGAAATAAAATGAAAACAGATCTTTAGGACAAATTTTAGATACAGAGGAAATGCCTGTGTGGTCACAAAATTAATTAACTATTTACAATTCTCATTAAAATAAAAATATTGGAAGAAGAATAAAACAAAAATATACAAATATATATAATACAAACTTGTGAAAATAAAATAACATAAGTAAACAAAATCATTTCTGGAGAACTTAAAAGTTCTCTTATCTCTTATCTAGGAGAGATTTAAATGAGGAAACTGATTGCGCATGTCGGATATCGGGAGGAATGGTATTCCAGGTGGAGACGCCAGTTCGGTAAAAATTGAATTTTAAACTATTCCAGATAAACAAAGCTAACAGAGGCGTTGATGACCTCGAAGTTTTGCGCCTTAAAATCCCAACTAACATCTACTGGTCTCGAATTAGGTATTAGGCTCCTAAACATATCTGTCGTCCTAAATAAAGTTCAGCATGTGTTTTATAGCATCACAGTATTATCTTGTTGCATCAGCATCTTAGCTCTCTTTTAGACCGAAGACTGACAAGGACTCAAAAGACAAGAACTTAACCGACAATACTGCCAACTATACAGACCAACTGAACAGAAAATCTAAAGTTTCTATTGAAAAAAAATACTTATCTACAAGTCAAGACTGAACTCTATACGGACATACGGACTTGAACTGTGGGGGACAGCAAAATTTTCTAACTTCAGACGCATCCAATCCTTTCAATGAAAAGTCCTTTAACCAACAAAACCCTCCACTATGACCTCAATATTCCATTTGTCTTAATATCCCTAGACCCTATCCCAGAAAAAATTATCAAAATTTCATCAGAATCTTACGAATCATACAAATCCTGTCGCAATGGCGCAAATTGAAAAATAGGGATTTAAATATTAGTATCAATTCTTTAGTGATAGAATTTCGGTAGCAATATTTCAGGGACGTTGGTTTAAAATCGCATTAATAAACATACACTGTCCGAACGAAGACAGTGACGATGAAGTCAAAAGTGAATTTTACGATAAACTCGAATGGGTTTATGATAAACTACCACGAAACTACATGAAAATAATTGTAGGTGACGCGAACGCAAAGGTAGGAAGGGAAGAAGTTTATATTCCGACGATTGGTAAAGAAAGTTTGCACGAATATAGTAATGATAATGGGATCCGTCTGATAAACTTTGCCATCTCGAAAAACCGGATAATTAAAAGTACGACGTTTAAACATAAGAATATTCATAAATATACTTGGACATCACCGGATTCGCAAACACGAAATCAAATCGATCATGTCTTGATACAACACAGCTGGCAAAGTAGTATAATTAATGTACGGTCTTATCGCGGAGCAGAATGTGGGTCGGATCATGAATTAGTAATCGCGAAACTTCGACAAAAACTTAATATAAAAAAGAGAAAAGAAAACCGTTTCGATTTTGAGAATTTTAATTTGGAAAAATTAAAAAATCCATCAATTAGAAACCAATTCGAGCTAGATGTTAAGAATAGGTTTGAAGCTTTAGAGCTTCCTGACGAGGACCACGAGGATATTGACAAGTTATGGGTAGAGATCAGGGATAATTTTAAAGCGTTCGGTAACTCGTGTCTAGGAAAAAAGGAAAATCAAAACCGTGGTTTGATGAAAATTGCTTAAACATGTTCGAAAAAAGAAAAGCCGCTAAATTAAAATCTCTAAATAATCCTAGCGAAGACAATCTGGAATACTTCCGAACCTCAAAGCACGAAACGACAAAATTGCTCAAAAATAAAAAAAGGGAGTATCTTAAGAATAAAATAATTGAAATAGAAACTAATAGAATCGAAAATAACGTAAGAGACATGTACAAAGGTATAAACAGATCACGAAAATGTGTAAGGCTCGTAACGTCTGGAATTAGGGATGATAATAACAATATTCTGACCGATCCGGTTGACATATTGAATAAGTTTAAGGACCACTTTGACAATATTTTAAATACGGGAAATTATGATCTGTGTCCTCCTTCTGAGTACCAGAGTGCTGAACCGTTAATAGAAGGACCAAGTAAAGAGGAAGTTGAAGTAGCTATCGGAAAATTAAAATCTTATAAAGCAGCGGGAACCGATAATATTGCTACTGAACTAATTAAGGCATGCGGGGAAGCTAGAGTTTCTAAAATACATCGGTTGGTTAAAAAGATCTGGGTGAATGAGAAATTACCTGAGGAATGGAAAGAATCTATTCTTATTCCGATTCACAAAAAGGGCCTGAGGACGGATTGTAATAACTATCGAGGAATTTCACTCCTTCCGGCATGTTATAAAATATTCACTTTAATCCTAACCAGTCGAATCACGGAATACGCCGAGGAAATTATCGGAGACTATTAATGCGGATTTAGATGGAATCGTTAAACTATTGATCAAATATTTTCTTTACGGCAAATATTACAGAAAAAATGCGTACGGAGAAAGGGTTGGATCTGGGTGGGACAACATCCGTGCTGGGCTATGCTGATGATCTGGTACTGTTAAGCGAAGACGTTGAAACTATAAAACTAAATATGACAACGTTAATGAAAGCCGGTAAAAAACTAGGACTCGAAATAAACGTGGATAAAACAAAATATATGGCTAGCTGCAAAAATGACGATACTACTGGTGATATCGATATAAATGGCAATATGTATGAACAGGTAGATAAATTTAGGTATATAGGTTCTACAATAACTAGAAAAAACGAAATTGAAGAAGAGATTAAGGTTAGACAGAAGGCGGGAAATGCTTGTTATTTTTCTGTGACAAAACTACTCAGTTCGCGCCTCTTGTCCCGGAACTTAAAAATTAGAATCTATAAAACAATTATCTTGCCTACAGTTCTTTATGGATGTGAAACTTAGTCGCTTACATTAAGGGACGAGCAGCGTCTTAAGGTTTTTGAAAATACAGTATTGCGTAGAATATTCGGACCGAAGAAGGATGAGTTAACCGGAGAGTTCAGACGGTTACACAACGCCGAATTGCGTGAACTGTATCGGGGTAATATAATTGAGGTAATTTCGTCGCGGCGAATCAAATGGGCTTATAAAGTTGTTGGGCTTAGTAACGAGAGAACCTTCGGGTTCGCTAAGCCTTTTATTATTATTATTATAAAGTTATTGGGCTTAGTAACCAGAGAATTCCTAAAAGGTTAAGATTTGATGTACCGAATGGTAAACATCCGAGGGATAGACCGAAGCGAAAGTGGGAAGATTGCATCAAAGCCGATCTGAAGGGACTAGGTTTGGACGGCGAAGGTTGGAGGGAGGTGTGTAAGTAATGAGCGATTGGTGGTGTCGGCATCAAACCTTTGGGTTCGCTAAGACTTTTATTTATTTATTTGTTTTATTTATTCTAGTTTATACCTTGAATTATTTTTATAATTCAACAGGAATACACCGATTGAACTGCTGTCTGTGAAAGCAGGAGAGTATGATTACAGAATCACAAACAAACCACTCCGAACTCAAACACAAGGAGTTCGTAATGTGGTACTCCATCCAGAATTCAATACGAAAAATCTTCAAAATGATGTTGCTCTTATATTTCTTGAACAATCCATGCAGCTTAATGAAGTAGTTGGTGTCATTTGTGGTCCAGAGAACAATGAATCTGTGATTGAATCTGACTGTTTTCTAACTGGATGGGGAGCCGATATCAAAAGTAAATAGCAGTTAACTATATACATTTTTTTTTAAATTCATATATATTCATTTTCAAATAATTCGTATCTCCTAATTAATTTAGATTTAGTTTAGATTTTAAGATTCTGAAAAAAATAAATAAGTGTTTGTTTTAGCATTTTCAGTTTAATCATCAGAGTTATGAACTTTAAACATTTACAGTTCTGTAGCTCCGAGGTAGAGGACACTACCCATGTATCATTTATCTAATCCCTTTTCCTTTGATATTAGTGTACTTTAAATTTATTAGTAATAAAAAAAAACTATTAAATACTTAGGTCACTTGTATTTATTTCACAGCATCATTAGTTTCTATTCTAACAATATGAAGATTATTTTAATCATTAGTAGAATATCAAAACTAAAATATTTTTTTTAATTTTCCATACAGATGGTTCTAACAAACCTGTTCTTACCAAAGTAAACCTTCCTCTTAAACCCCGAGGAAAATGCCTAGAAAATCTAAGAACTTCTAGATTAGGGGAGTACTTCATACTTCACGAAGGATTCTTATGCGCTGGGGGTGAAGATACAGGAAGAACCAACTGTAGGGTATGTAACCACACTCCGAATACAAAGAATATTATGTAGAATAAGTAATTCATAAACCTGAACTTTATAGATGGATGAAACGAAACTGTTATTATGTTTACCTTATTTTCAGGTTTTTAAATTAGAACATTGCTGATATTTTACAGTGAAAAATTACTATAACGAAAGTGGTGATCTTGAGACAACAAATATTATCATATGAAACTTTTACTTCTAATCTTATACTGTTTTTTTATAGTCTTTGAATTGAAATTACCTCAATAACACATTGGGTTCTTATATATCTATCTTATAACAATTGACAGAATCTTTCCAAACTGATATCAAATTTTCGTTGAGATAATATAATAAATTTACAAATTTTTTTATTTAAAATCCATTTATCAATTACACCGAGCGACGGACGCTATAGCGCTAGACCATAAATTATATACAATAGGAGTTAACATTAATTTTTAGATGTTGCTCAAGCGTTCGATAGAGTCTGGCATCAAACCACGGTTTGTTATTCTTATTTTCCTTTGTTCCCATACACGATTTACTGACCGCTTCAATATTATCCCTCTATCTTAATATTAGATCTCTACTCATACCTTGTCAATATCCTCGCGGTAATCGTCAGAAGGTTCTAAAGCTTCGAATCTATTCTTCATATCTAGCTCAAATTGAGTTCTAATTGATGTTTTTTTTAATTTTTCCAAATTAAAATTCTCGAAACAGAATCGGTTTTCTTTGCTGTTTTTTATATTAAGTTTTTGCGTTAACTAATTCATCATCCGATACTGTTTCAATATAATTTATTGAAAGCGTATTTGGTTGGATGATTATGATAAAATTGGAATTCGACCTGGCTTCGTATATAACTCTGCTAAAAACAACAGAAAGTTATATATCATTCATCCAAAAAAATGGGTTTGTCACAGAGTTACCATTCAATACGATTGATCAATGATGCTTAAATAGGTGAATTAAAGTAGCAATTAGGCTTGTAGGTTTTTGCAATCAAAAAATAATTTTTGACAAATTTATTTATGACCAATAGGCAAACAAACCACTAGTAAATTTATATTGATTAAAAAAAAAATCACTTCCATCAAACACGCAAACTGTCAAACGCTCAAAGTTAAAGTAGTAATTTTTCAATTTTCTTTTTCTTAAGAACCTTATACGAAGTATTAGAAAACTTAAAAAAATATATATAAATGAAATCGGTTATTAAGTTATGGCGTGATCAAGGGAAATAGGGATTCATTTTTATGTTTATAGATCTACAAGATTTAATTTCTTCTTTTAATCATACACTAGATTTAACCTCTTTTATCCTGATGTAAATTATTTTTAACATATATTTTAGTAGTAGCTGATATACATCAATCTCCCAGGCTACATAAAAATAATTACAGGTTACAAATATTCTAAAATTACGAAACTGGGCAAATAACTAACTTTTAAAAAATTTATCACATTTCTTTCGTTCAAATCGTTCAAATAAGAGGTGGTCGATAAAAACATTTTGGACGAGTAACTTGCTGGCGTGTGCTCGACGGCTGTGTGCTTACATCAATAGGCTGAGCATGTTCTAATGCTGGTGGAGGACTACTCTGGACCACAGGGAAGATCTCTGGGTTTGGCTGGATGGTTATCCTCGAAGTGAGGTTGTTCTCAACAGACTTTCTACTTCTCAGTTGGTCTTGTAATGGGGGTCTGCAAAGAAATTGGCCGCAATATCTCTGTGCATCGTAATTGATCAATATGACGCTTGAGAGTAAAACCATCGTTCATGTAGTATTCCTCACTTATCACAGACGACCATTGTTTGCCATGTTTCTTATACAAGTCTGTACATTTTAACTAAGACACAGTCTCCTACGCTGAATGATCTTAAACAGGAGCTTATTTTCAAACTTTAGATGATACTCCCTTCAACCTACAGTCTTATCCTTCAATCTTTCCTTTCTGATAGATTTTTCCCAGTCTGCCAAGGCACAGAACTTTCAATCTACCGTTAAACCAATCTTAGCAGGAGTGCCTCAACGATCAGTACTCCCTCCGCTGCAATATATAAATACGCACATGATAATCCATGCTGTATCGAAATTCTGACTGCCACTTACGCAGACAATACAACAATCTTAACAAGACATCCAAACCCAGTACACGCCTCATAGATTCTACAATATCACCTAATTAAATTTCATGACTGGTGCAAAATTCGAATCAACCAAAACAAATCACAACATATTATTGTTTCTCTTCGACGTGAAACTTACCTCGACAATGTCCAAATTCCTCTGGCATACAAAAATCTTGGACTGATATTTGATAGAAGAATGACTTGGGAGCCCACATATCGAGAACAAAACAAAAACAGTTAACCTAAGACTACGACTGCTATATTCACTCTTTTCAAGACGTTTGAAATTTAAACTCAGTCAAAAACTGAATATATACACTTACTTACTTAAGCTCATTTGGACCTACATATGCCTCATAGTTATACAAGACATCCAAAAAGACTAACATACGTAAACTATGTAGACTTACCAAAACTTTCAGGGCTATAACCCAAACTCCTAACTGGTACGTTAGTGACATTACATTACATAAAGATTTCTAGATGCCCACATTTAACGACCATTTACAAATACACTACAAAAGATTTCATAATAACTTACACGGACATACTTACTTACCACAACCAACATGCCCAATAGTACCAGTATGATGATGAAGAGAAGCTGGATGGGGGATCGCCTTTACTAACAGTAAATATTAAATCAAAATAGGCAGCGAGGCCGCGGACCACTCCTCTTTGCCTCGCGCTTACCAACGTCTTTATCATGCTATTCTCCACGACAGCACATTCGCTGGTTGTTTGTATTCCCAACAGGTGTGGCTTGAAAAATAAAGATGAAAAAATCTGGTGCGTGCATCTCACGACTTTCACTTACCACCCTCTTCTTAGCAGAAATAAATATTTTCCGACAAAGAGGAAGTGAAAATAAAAATTATACAAACTGCATTTATTTACATTTCACATTGTGAATATTTTTATTTGTTTAAATGCCGTTACATAAACAAATTTTAATTCTTATGTCGCTGTATTCTATACAATTAAATATTAAATAATACGATAGTATTTATAAAAACCGCATATGTATATGTACATAGTATTGTCGAAGTCCGTATTATATTTAGCTCATGGTAGGTATGGAAGCGTTGTATGTACTATTTCGGGTCAGCTCGGCCGAGCTCGTATTCCTTTGGTTCTTCCATTAAAACTATTATCAGTTACGATCTCTTATTTCTCCTTTAGTTAGTAAATTCTTTCATATTTTATATTTAGCTATTTTTGTATCAAAGATTAATATGAAATGGTTAATTATTTCAAATTAAAAAAACTAAAGGTACTTCAGAGGAAGCTAATATTGAAAATTAGCCATTTAAGCCGTGTTAGAGAATATAAATGATAATAAAACCTGCATTATATTAAAACTGCTTAATAATACACTGATATACGGAGTTTAATAAAATCGTTAGATATGTTTTTTAAAAAAATCGTAAAAATGTGTTAAATCGATTATATAAAGTACCACTTCAAGTTTGTCGATTTTGAAGAAAATATAGCTCTATCATCCAAGGCTTATAAAAACTTCAAATACACAATTTCAGTTTCGTATGACTTGAATTTTGAGCTAGGCTGTTAATTTATACACACACACACTGTATATATGTGAACATTTTGCGGGACTTGATTATTTCAACTCAGGGAACCACAAAATGTGTATATACGTTGAAAAGTCAGATTCAAAATTTTTCACGATCGCAATACTTACCCATACTATACATATATAGATAAGTGAGAGTAAAAAAATTAATTGTTAATCTTTTGGAAATTTGTATAGACCAGAGATGGTGTTTATCTCAGATGTTATTCCATGCTCTTAATATTTATCAATATTAAATTGATCTAACATTATTTTAATGTACTATTTTGCAGGGAGATGGTGGTGGACCATTGTACTGTCCATCTAAAAATAATCCGAACCAAATGGTCCAGATAGGAGTACATGCTGCTCGCGTTGGATGTGGATTAGGACATCCTACACTTTTCGCGTCAGTAGAATGGTACAAAACTTGGTTGTACAGTCAGTTATCTGCCTACCTGAATAGTTCCCCCAGGCTAGACGAAGAAGATAGTGATTGAATTTGATAGATTGAAACAAATGGTGAAAAATGGCCAACAAAAATATATGAAACAAGTTCTGAAAACAATGAGTTACCTGAATGAAAAAATATTTGAAAAATGTTTCTTTAAAAAAATAATTTTGTTAAATAAGTACTATATTTTTGCAATGTTGAAGTTTGTTACTTATGATCAGATTTATTGTTATTTAAGTAAAACAAATAAATCTTATTTAGTAAATACAAGATACTTATTTTCTTAATTTTTAATAATATGTAAATGCTAAATTTATTCTTAAAGAGCATAGCTAATAACAGCATATACCGGTTGTCATGTTATATCTTGTAATCTTGTATTATTTGATTAAACATAAAAACAGGGGTTGCAACAGTAATTTTGTTTTTTTATAAATTATTTCAACTTTTACTGTTTCAAAAAACTTTCATAAATAAGAGGTTATTGGTGAACAATTTTTCAAAACTGTAATAATCGTTCTAGCATAAAAGAGTTTTTAATTTTTTAATACAAAAATAAATGTCATAAAAAAGTATTTGTTAAACTTTTACGTTAGGTACTTGTAATTTTTTGAACTTATAACTTTTATTTTAGAGGGAATAAGTAAAAGTAAAATGATTACAAGATTCAACATGACAAGAGGCATATGCTGTTATTAGCTATGCTCTTCAAGATTAAATTTCGCATTTACGTATTGTCAAAAATTAAGAAAATAAGTACCTTGCATTTACTAAATAAGATTTATTGGTTTTACTTAAATAACAATAAATCTGATCATAAGCCACAAATTTCATCATTGCCAAAATATAATATTAATTTAACAAATTTATTTCTTTAGATAACCATTTTTCATTCAGGTAATTCATTTTTTCAGAATTAGTTCCCTTTAAAATAAAAGTTATAAGTACAAAAAATTACAAATTATAATAGAATTTCATAATTATTACAATGCTCAGTAGTCATAGTGGAAAACTAATGAATTCCGATGGTCCTGGAAACTATTTCAATGTTAATTTTGTACAACATTATATAATGCAAAATTTTATTTGTTAATCATAATTGTTTTATTAAAAAAGTAAATGCTTTAAGGTTTTTGATTTTTTTTTTTTACATTTACATTTACAACAGGTAAATGTGACATTGGTAACATGACATGTAAAATATGAAGAGAAACTACCCATTGGTAGAACTCAAATTTGAATTAATTGAATACATACTATCTTGTTCCATGCCTTGTAAATATTTGTTATGTTAAATGCATAAAAATATTATTATATATCTATGTAGGTATAACGATGATTACATTTTCTATTAATAAAAACCTAAAAGAATATTACTCTTATCATTAAAACCTATCCAAGTAAATGGTTTATAAAAGCTGTTATATAAAAATTTTTATTAATGAGGTTTGGAAATAATAGTAAAGAAATTATTGTTTTGAAGTGGCATGTATCAATAGAAGTAAAAGTTCAACAAAACTTTCTATACATCTACAAATATAGGTAAAAGTTAAACTTTTACTTTTAATTATAAGAGTTCACTGTTTTATTCAGCTGTACTTAAAATATATACCATCAATCAAATTCTAACGCCACCTGGTTCAATTTTCACAAACTTACAAAAGGTTAAAAAAAAATGTCTAATTTTTTCTTGCAGTCTTACTAATCTTCTTTCTTGCAGTTTTTAGTATATTTCATCTGCAAAACGTCTTGGAAACACATAATCGACATACTTATAGTATGATGAAAATAAATCATGTAGATGGCTAACTTATTTCATTCAGGCAGTTTAAGAATATATATGATGATATATAAGTTAAATATCAAATATTAGTGTAGACAACTTTTTTATGGTAGGTATCAATTATTAAAATATATCCAAGCCACAAAATGCTTATTTCTTAAAAATTCTTTGTTCTGACCATTTTGGTATAGTTTGTGGTAAGTGAAAGACCTCTCAAGATTACAATTTAATTTGCGAAATTACTTTTAAAAAACACACAAACACTATTTCTTTAAAAGAAATAGAAATTGCCATGAATGTTAATCAAGACAAGAGCCTTAAATTTAATCTTACAAAGAAATATTTTATTAAATACTTAATGGTTGACCGTTGTGTATTTTAGAGGAAGCAGATGGTCCGGGGTGGCGGTCATAAAGAGATCAAAATAGTGAAAAATTATTTTATTTCAAGCCAACATTTTGACCCGACTTTGCCGGTCTTCTTCAGGGAGGTGTGTTCAGCATGGAGTTTCAGTTAAAACTCAAGTTTCAGAAACTCCTTGCTGAACACACCTCCCTGAAGAAGACCTGCAAATTCGGGTCGAAACGTTGGCTTGAAATAAAATATTTTTTTCCATTTTAATCTCTTTTTTACCACCATCCTACGACAACATAGGCCCAGACTTTCCAGATTAAAGTCAGGGAGTGATGGACCAAAAAAAAACAGCATGAGTTTACATTATGTGTAAAAATTATGTAAAATGATATAAAATCAACTTATCATAAAATTGAATATTTAAAAATAAATTTATATACATGTGTTGAGTTTCTTGAAGTATTGTACAGGTAACACAGTTATGAGAAGGCCTTGAAGGAACATAGTTCAATTTAGGGGTTAGATAACGAGGTGGATAAAGTAAAATGAGTAGACAGGATGACCTCAAGGGTCAGACAGATCAGTATCCAAAACACTCTTGGTCTGGGTAGTAAGGAATCATATCATCCTTAACACACCACAGAAACGGAAGCCACAAATAGATGGATCAATTTTCTGAACTAGTGGGAGGATGGAGTACTTACGTGGGCAGAACCTACTGACTTAGCAACTGAAAATATACAGTCGGATCAGATCAAGATCTTGAAATGAGAGGGAGAAACGTAAAGCGGTACACATGTATATAATGAATAAAAAGTTATTAAGTAACATTTAAACATATGCAGTATTTGGAACATGTTGATTAAACGGATGAGAAGATCTCTGATTATCCTTTTTTTCTAACCCCTTATAAACCTTTATTAACATATACAAACTATCAATACATGTCAATGGAACTGGATCGCGAACGGGAAAATAATCTCACTGTGGAACGGAATGGAACAGTTCCAGCAACTGAGAATTATCGATACCACCGGATTGGTAAGGAGTGGTGAAGCTGGTTCGATAAGAAACGGAGGAACAGTTGGCTAAAGCGTGCCAAACCAGTTCCAATTCTGTTTCAGCCGGTTCGATAAGGAACGGAGGAACAGTTGGCTAAAGCGTTCCAGACCAGTTCCAATTCTGTTCCAGCTGGTTCGATAAGGAATGGAGGAACTGTTGGCTAAAGCGTTCCAGACCAGTTCTAATTCTGTTACAGCCAGTTCGATGAGGGAAGTCATTGGAGCAGTGGCCTATTCCTATACTATTCCTTATTTTAAAAACTTTAATTTTTATTTTTTTTTTGTTATTATTACCATGGCCATCGCTAATAGAGTGGCTAATAAGAGAAATAGACCGTTAGGCTCGACACCATCATCTTCTCCTGTCAAACAAAAGCCTCGTAAATCTCGTCAATCACCTCCAAAAACATCTGCTTGCTCCGAAGAACATACAATCCAGCCAGGAATATCACTATAAGAGAACATTGAAGAACCTCAGCATCAACCAAGTATACTTGATTACCACAAGAGACAATTGAAAAATCCCATTTATTTACACACAACCCCTATCAAGTGCTTCACAATGACAGTGAGGTAATGGAGTCCGCACCGATACCAAGAGACCCCCGACCTCCCCCGATATTCGTTAAGAACATAAAACATTTCCAATTACTATGTTCTCAACTAAACAAAATAGCAGGCTCCGGAAGCTACGCATGCCTAAGCAGAACAAATCACACCAAAATATCTCCAGATACAGCCAGCTATAGACGGATACGGAGACCTATAGAAAAATTGAGAAGTATCTAACAGAGACAAAAGCAGATTTTCACACGTATCAATTGCGGCAGGATTGAGCTTTAAGAGTACTTATAAGAAGCCTATATCTTTCAACACCAACTGAAACAATAGAAGAAGAACTGAAAAATATAGATTTCAAAGTGCGCCAGATAACAGATGTTCTAAAGGAGACTAAGGAACAGCCAGGAGTAAAAGTTTTCCTAAGGGGGTATGATCTCCTTACACCTCAGATCCTTCGACAACTTCCATCCAAAGCAGTCATATTCCTTACATATATCTTTTTTGTGTTTTTGTTCTTCCCTACCTTGCCTTTTAGGCTATACGGGATTTTCCCGGGTCGGGGGGTGAGGGCGGGGAATTTATAATCCCCTCCGACACCGGGACCCGAACTCGTACTTTTTAAATCTTCTCAAATCTGTAATCCGGTTGCCAGGCAACTGTGCAGACGCTTTAGCCCATTCGGCCACCCCGTCCCCTCCTTACATATATTTACAATTACATCCTTCACATCATCCACTTTCCTCTGTTATGGAAACACTCCACCATTATCCTTTTCCAAAAACCAGGCAAACCCCCAAACATCTTGACATCCTATAGACCAATTAGTCTACTCCCAATCCTTTCAAGAATCTTTGAAAAGATCCTTTTGAAAGATTCCTACCCTTCATAGAATCCCAAAATCTTCCTTCCCATCAGTTTGGTTTTTGCTCACAACACGTTGATCATATTTCAGCAGCCATAGAAAACAAGCAATACTGATGGTGAATTTATGGACATAGCAGAGGCTTTTGACCGGGTATGGCACCCCAGGCTTCTCTTCATACATAAAGCATGTGGGTTTTTGGGTAGTTATTTTTATTAGCTTAGTTTTGTTTTGATTCGTTTAGTTTATTTTTGTTTAGCTTAGTTTAGTTTATATACATTTATTTTTAAGATTATTATTTTGCTCTATTATTTATTTTTATTTATTGTGATTGGAGTGTGAATGTGCCTTTGAACACTATTATAAATGTCCTTAATGTGACAGATTCTAATATCTTTCAATAAAAATGATTAAAAAATAATAATAATTTACAAAAACGTTAAATAATTATTTCGGAAATATTTCTAGTTCTAAAATGTTTTTATCTATACCTGGAAGTTTTTATTGTCAAAAATAAAGAAGTTTAATAATGTGATTTGTTACAGTTTGGTGTTTTTAATGCATTACATTTTAAGGCTTCTAATTGATATTACCAATGCTTTATGTGTTGTTTAAATTTTTTTGTTAATATAACAATCAGGCGACGTGGCTCATCCATTTTTTGTAACATTTTTTTTTTCTAACCCCCCAAATTGTTTATTTAATCAAATTACATATATAGTATTAAATTACATAACAACAATTTTTTATAACAATTTAAAAAACTGTTTTTTTAAGCTAAGTATAACAAACACAATATATGACTATATATATTACATAAAACAAAATTAGCCAACAAATATAATCTAAATTAAAATAACTATTCGCACAGGTACATATTTATTTTGGTCAGTATTATTTACACATATCTTTATTCAAGTAAAGATTTAAATTAATTAAGAGATAATATAATATATGTATTAAATACATATCTTACTGTAATAATAGAACTTTTAATTTTTTAACATGGCGCTTTTAAACAACTCTTAGGACTAAGTGTTACAAACAGCTTATGAGAATATATTTTAAATAAAATAAAAGTATCTTAAAAGGTAATGAAACATTAAATGAATATTCCAATTGATGTAACACACTTCAAACTAGTATACAATGAAATGATGCAGATATAATAATTATTTTATAAGCAACACTAGACTAAAAATATTTTAAAAAAATAAATAGGTTTTCTTTTATTAATAACAAACAATTACCACAATCAACTTATGTATTATATTTCAAAAGAACAATCCTTTTCACTTTTTCTGAAGACAGCTGAGTAGTCCTCCTTTCATTTAAAATATTACCGGTTTTAGGAAAAACTATTTCACATGGTACTGACGTTATTACCATGCAAAACTTTTGTCTAACAATTTTTGACAACTACAGGAAATTACAAAAATGTACTCTCCACCATTTCAGTGGGTCGCTATTTTCACTTGGTAGTGGTTCCACAAGATAACGTTGTACTTCTGCGATAACTCTAGACATTTGGGTCCAAGTTGGCTTATAATTAGCTGCAATTCGTCTATATGTATTGAATTCAGCGAGCTTCTTTGTTACAAGAGTAGAACTGGTCGAAGGAGAATCACTACTCATTTAAATTGTACCACTTGAAAGACCTTCTCCTAAATCTTGATTAATTTGGCTGTCCACCGAATTCATGTTTTTTTTTTTTTTTGCTGTTTCAGCAATTATTTCTGAACG